AAAAAAAGAAAGAAGAAAAAAAGAGGAAAAGTGAAAATAAACAAACGTAAAGGAATTAATGAAAACACAAAAATCATTGGGTGCTTGCCCGAAAAAAATATAAAATTTTCTTCAACTAAAATAAGATCTCCTCTGTGTGGCCCTTCGTTCACACTGATCTAACCATTTGCAAAGTTGTTGCACTGTCGCCATACATTCCGATTACCTTTCCAAATAAGCTTTCCAGAGCGGTGACTGAATCAATAACGACTGATCGCCAACAATCACAACTCCTTTCTTCGCTTTTGACAGCGCCACTGTAGCGCGAAGTGGGTCTAAAATAAAATCTATATTTCTATAAACATTTTTTATACTCACCCGTGTCGTTGCTACTATGCGGTTTACTGTGTAAACCTGGCTTGGAGGACCCATTGCCGCCGTTCTTTTCGCTGCTGCAGAATAATAACATGATATAGTTATGTCAGCATTATCTGTCAACGCGCCAGTGTATGGAGGTAATTGTTTTTCATTGCCTGTTAATAAAACTTGTTTTATATTAGGTAGATAAACAACAAAAGTAAATAAAAATACTTCCGCTAATAATCCGTTTTCATCTATCACAAGATATCGTAGGTCCGCCATGTCAAAATATTCCTCCCACACCTGAATAAACATTCTTAACATTGGAACAATAGCGCATAATAACTTCGGAAACTGTAATTCAACAGCAATTTTAACGACTTCTCCTTCCTTCCACACATTGCCCTCATGCAATAAACGTCGAGCTGTGTAATTGGTAACAAACCGTGTTTCGGCTTCTTCTAGATCTGCGTCCCGATGGGCTTGTAGTACTTCCGGTACTCGACACCTCTTTCAGGCCTTACCCACGATTTGCTGTGGGGCTATTTGATTAACAATAGACTGCAAGAACAATACCTTTTCTGTTTTGAACTTAAATTCATTGAAAACTTTCACAGATATTTCTTGCACTGCCAAATTGGTAGGTGCAGTCACAAGAATCACACCCTTCGCCTTTCTAAAAATTTAAGAATATATAAAGAAATGTGCGTTTTGCCGGTGCCAGCTGAGGCTTGCACCACTAACACGCTCAAATCTTCATTTTCTAAAGATTGCAATATTTGCGCCTGTTCTCTAGTTAACGATCTTATCTTTCCTTGTACTTCCATTTCGACCTCTTCCTTGGGAGCGGACAACGCAAATTCCTCGTGGGCCACCTTCTACTTCCATCGTCTTTTCATTGTACTGCACGGTCATTATTCTTTCTAACAATTCTCTTCTTTGAGGACTAATTTCATCATTTACTGCTACAAAAATCCTTCTTCCCGAGAGGTGCCTAATCACTGATTCGTATTCTATATTGTCCATGTCTGAGTAGACTAAAATT